CTAGCTACTCAGGAGGCTGAGATCTGAGGCTCACAGTTCAAAGCCAGCCTGGGCAGGAAAGTCCGTGAGACTCTTATCTCCAATTAACCACCAGAAAACCAGAAGTGGCGCTGTGGCTCAAGTGGTAGAGTACCAGTTTTGAGTAGAAAAAGCCAGGAGAGGCTGGGTGCTGGTGGCTCACATCTGGCATCCTAGCTACTCAGAAGGCTCAGGTCTGAGCATCACAGTTCAAAGCCAGCCCAGGCAGGAAAGTCTGTGAGACTCTGATCTCAAATTAATCACCAAAAATGCCAGAAATGAGGCTGTGGCTCAAGAGATAGAGTGCTAGCCTTGAGCCACAGCTCAGAGACAGTACCCAGGCTCTGAGTTCAAGCCTCAGGATTGGCACAAAGATAAATAAATGGATGGATGGATAGATAGATAGATAGATTGATTGATTTTTTTTTTTTTTTTGGTCAGTCATGGGGCTTGAACTCTGGGCCTGGGCGCTGTCCCTCAGCTCTTCAGCTCAAGGCAAGCGCTCTACCACTTGAGCCATAGCACTATTTCCGGTTTTCTGAGTGGTTTATTGGAGTTAAAGAGTTTCACCAGCCTTTCCTGTCAGGGCTGGCTTTGAACCATGATCCTCAGATCTCAGCTTCCTGAGTAGCTAGGATGACAGGCATGAGCCACCATGCTCAACATTGGATAGATATTTAAAAACAAAACAAATGAAAACTTGTGAATGATTGCTAAGTTGTCAAAGATCAGAGGAGCTGATCACTAAGTTAACAATGATTGTCTGGATTGGGTCCAAGGACAAAAAGAAGGCGGTGATGGGAAAAAAAAAAAAAAAAACCAGTGACTTTGTATTAGTCCTGAGTAGTTGGAATAATCTACGATTCCAGAAGCACCTGCCATCTTGGGAGGTTTGTCTGTCAACGGGGCTGAGACTCAGCCCTGCCAGGGGGAAAGGGTGGGCCTTTGCAGGCTCCAGGATGCTTGGGTACCCTCAGCCTCTGCCCTCTGTCTTCTAAGCCACCGGAGTAGCTTTTCCAGCCTCTCTAATTACTAGGAACTTATGAAAAACCACTGCTTCTGTTTAGGTATGTAAAAACCACCAAAAAAAGGAGTGGTGTATCCCACAAACAGATGCTTGGTGAGAGTGGTTTCCAAATGGGTCCCTGAATACAGGAAGAAGGCAGATCGGAGCTGGGGTAGCTGGGCAGGTAGGTTGAGTCCTTTTGTCTTCCCAGTGGAAAGATTCAGAGATATAGTCTCAAAAGTGGAGATTCAGGCACTGGGAAGGTGGCTCAGTGGTAGAGTGCTTGCCTCACATGCATGAAGCCCTGGGTTTGATTCCTTAGCACCACAAAAACAGAAAAAGCCTAAAGTGGCACTGTGGCTCAAGTGGTAGAGCGCTAGCCTTGAGCTGAAGAACTAAGGGACAGCGCCCAGGCCCTGAGTTCAAGCCCCACAACGACCAATTGGAGATTCAGCTCGGTGTCTGTGGCTCAACTCCTGGAATCCTAACAACTCAAGAGGCTGAGATCTGAGAATCAGGGTTCAAAGGCAGCCCAGGCGAGAAAATCAGTGAGACTCCTATCTCCTATGAACTACAAAAAGCCAGAAGCGGAGCTGTGGCTCAAGTGGTAGAGTGGTAACCTTGGGCAAAAGAAGCTCAGGGATTGCACCCAGGCCCTGAGTTCAAGTCTCAGGACCAGCACAAAACAAACAAAGATGAAAGAAAAGATATATCATGTTAATTTTCACCTCACAGCTGAGGAAAGCTAAATGATGCTGGACACCTTAAGCAATGGGTCCAAGTGCACACAGCTATAAACCACCAAAGAGAACAGGCCCACGGCTGGGAATGTGGCTTAGTGGTAGTGCTTGCCTAGTATGCATGAAGCCCTGGGTTCGATTCCTCAGTACCACACACACACAGTAAAAGCTGGAAGTGGCGCTGTGGCTCAAGTGGTAGAGTGCTAGCCTTGAGCAAAGGAAGCTCAGGGGACAGTGCCCAGGCCCTGAGTTTAAGCACCAGGACTGGGAAAAAATAAAATAAAATAGAAAGGCCAAGCCTGCTCTGATCTAAGGGGGGGAGGGCTTCACCCACAAAGCCTCTGCTATTTTATTCCAGGGCTGTAACCCCTTATTAATTCACACAGGGATCTGCGGTCTTGCCTCTGCCTCCAAAGCCGTAGAAATCTAAAAAAAAAAAAAAAAAGTGGACACTCCCCAAGAAATGACAGGCTTGGGCTTCTGAAGAGACTGGCATTAATTAAAGAATGGCCCAGAGAGGGTGGTAACCGGAACAACGGGTCCCCTCCCAGAGCCCAATCCTCTATTCTTCACTTGAAGCCAACATTGGTGGCTCATGCCTGCAATCCTAGCTAATTCAGGAGGCTGAGGGCGGAGGATCGTGGTTTGAGGCCAAGCCCAGGTAGAGACCAATCCAAGAGACAGGCAGGGTTCCCTTCCCTGTTAGAGAGCAGGTGAGCCTAGAATCCAAGTTCAAGGGCAAGTCTGCATCCATTACAGATATCACTCACCTGCTCTGCCTGCCGATCCGCAGGCGGCGTGGCTTGATCCTTGGGGACAGGAAGGCATGGCTCACAGCTCTACTCCAACACTGTGGGATGACGCTCAGACCCAGGGGAGAAAGGAATGACCTTCAGAGGTGGAGAAGGTTCTGGAGGCTGTGGTGTGCAAGGGAAAGAGGAGTGTGTGTGTGTGTGTGTGTGTGTGTGTGTGAGAACTGGGGCTTGAACTCAGGGCCTGGGCACTGTCCCTGAGCTTTTTTAGCTCAAGGCTAGCGCTCTACCACTTGAGCCACGCCGCCACTTCCAGCTTTTTTGGTGGTTCATTGGAGATGAGAGTTTCATGGCGCCCGGTGCCAGTGGCTCACGCCTGTCATCCTAGCTACTCAGGAGGCTGAGATCTGAGGATCGCAGTTCAAAGCCAGCCTGGGCAGGGAAAGTCTGTGAGACTCTTAACTCCAATAAACCACCAGAAAACCGGAAGTGGCGCTGTGGCTCAAGTGGTAGAGCGCTTAACCTTGAGCTGAAGAGCTGAGGGACAGCGCCCGGGCCCAGAGTTCAAGCCCCACTAATGACCAAAAAAAAAGTCTCATGGACATTCCTGCCTAGGACCACTTAGTACTTCGATCCTCAGATCTCAGCCTCCTGAGTAGGTGGGATTACAGGTGTGAGCCACTGTGCCACACTCTGCTCCGTGATCTCCACCACCCCCAGCCAGCCACAGGGTTCCTGGTGGGCACAAGAAATGTCACCAGCCCTTCTCGAGTCTTGTATTCAAGATCCCAGCCTGGGGGTTGCAAAATGAACCCTGGGACCACTATCCTGAGGGACCTCCATGTTGTAAAAGCCAGCCAGATGCCCAGGATCTTTTGAAGAAACGGAAATGGCAAAGACTAAATAAAGATAATTCTTGTTGGTCATAGAACTTCCCCATGAAATCATCAAAATTAACCCACACTGCCCCCTGGTGGCTAAAAGGCTTCCCTTCCATGCAGGCTGGGGAAAGAGGTCCCTGGGAGCCAAAGGGACCACAGGAGGCAGAAATGGGCCGCAGCCTTTATGGAATCGGTTCAGAACGGGAGTCCAGGACTGGGAAGGTGGCTTAGTGGTAGAGTGCTTGCCTTGCATGCATAAAGCCCTGGGTTCGATTCCTCAGTACGACATGCGCAGAAAAACCAGAAGTGGTGCTGTGGCTCAAGTGGTAGAGTGCTAGCTTTGAGCAAAAGAAGCTCAGGGGACAGTTTGAGCCTTTGGACCTGTACTGAATGAAGGACTAGCACGCATGCCTGGCTAGCTCCTTACCACTTGAGCCACAGTGGGAATTTCAGCATAAGGCAGTGATTTTTCAATGTGCATTTTGTCTGAATGCGAATGATACACAGTGAATCCACCATCTGTGGTGGATTCCTGCTTTCTGCTCTGCCAGGCATCAATGGCTCACATCCATAATCCTAGCTGCTCAGGAGGCTGAGATTGGAGGATTGCAGTTTGAAGCCAGCCCAGGCAGACAAATCCATGAGATTCTCATTTCCAATTCACCAGCAAAAGACTGAAAATGGAGCTGTGTCTTCAAGGATAAAGCATCACTGCCAGTGAGTTTTAAGGGGAGAGCCAAGTGTTAGGGGCTCAGACCTATAATCTTAGCTACTCAAGAAGCTGAGATCTGAGGGCCATGGTTCAAAACCAGCCTGGAAAGGAAAACCTATGTCCCTCTTACCTCCAAAGAACTCTCAAAAAACTGACGGGAGGGGCTGGGAATGTGGCTCGGTGGTAGAGTGCTTGCCTAGCATGCATGAAGCCCTGGGTTTGATTCCTTGGTACCACATACACAGAAAAAGCTGGAAGTGGCGCTGTGGCTCAAGTGGTAGAGTGCTAGCCATGAGCTGAAGAGCTGAGGGACAGCGCCCAGGCCCAGAGTTCAAGCCCCCTGACCAGCAAAAAAAAAAAAAAGCATATGAGATGTAAAAGTTTGAGAGCTGTTCAAACAGTTCCATCTCCACCTCTTCCTCTGCTGACTGCAACTGTCCTAGCATTTGATCTCTCTAAAAGTCTACTTACTTGAAACCTTTTTTGGTTTTCATTTCTGTGTGTGTGCACGGGCTGGTCCTGGAGTTTGAATTCCAGGCCTGGGTACTATATCTAAGTGGTTTCTAGTGGTTTATTATAGATAAGAGTCTCACAGACTTTCTTGCACTGGCTGGCTTTGAACCACGACTCTCAGATCTCAGCTTCCTGAGTAGCTAGGATTCCAGGCAGGAAGACATCTGTACCCCAGCTCTTGATATGGGTTTGTCTTTTGTTTTTCCAAGTTGAAGAAAATCACAGGCCCAATGCTTCCCTTTATGGATGAAGAACAATTTGAGACTCAGAAAGAGGAAGTGACACAGAAAGCAATCAGAAGTCACCGGATGCTGGATTCCTGATAGGAAGTGCTGGAAACTCCCAGCCTGCAAGCGAGCAAGCAACCAAGACAATTGCTTCAGCAAAAGCAGTTTGACTTTATTGTAGACTTGATTGGGCGCAGGCAATGGGGCGTCTGTAGGAGCTCCGTGGCTGAGTGGCACGGCCCATCCCAGATCTGTCTGGATGCTCCATCAAGCAGCCTAGGAGAGAGAAGTTAGGTGGAGCAATGTCTCCCCCTGCTGTGAACATGGCAGCACTGCAGAGGTGGTGAAGGCTGCGGTGGAGACTGGGGGCAGGAGGCGGTGGCCAAGTGGGAAAGCCCAGCCTGTAGCCTTACAGGACCCTCTCTACAGCCAATCACAGCCCAGGCCCTCTTCCGGAACACCCAAGGCTGCTACGTAGCCTGCTAGCAGCATCTACTTTATGATAGAAAGGTAATGAAAAAGTCAAGCGGCGGCGGCGGTGGCTCACGCCTGTCATCCTAGCTACTCAGGAGGCTGAGATCTGAGGATCACGGTTCAAAGCCAGCTTGAGCAGGAAAGTCCATGAGACTCTTAGCTTCAATAAACCACTAGAAAATAATCTGCAGATGACTTTCAAACCAACCAAAGCCACTCTGAGGATTTCAAACTCCTATTTTCTTCTATTATTTTCCCTCCTCTTCCTCCTCCTCCTTCTCTTTTCCTTCTTCTTCCTCCTCCTCCTTCCTTCCTCTTCTTTTTTGGTTAGTCATGGAGCTTGAACTTGGGGCCTGGGTGCTGTCCCTGAGCTCTTTTGCACAAGACTAGCACTCTACCACTTTGAGCTACAGCGCCACTTCCACTTTTCAGGTAGTTAATTGGAGATAAGAGTCTCACAGACTTTCCTGACTGAGTTTGCTTTGAACCATGATCCTCAGATCTCAGTCTCCTGAATAGCTAGGATTACAGGCGTGAGCCACTGCTGTCCGGCCTTCTCTTCTCTCTCTTTCCTTTTCTTCCTTTCTTCCTTTCTTTCGTTCTTTCTCTCCTTACCCCCCACCCCCACCCCATGCTAATCCTGGGGCTTTTACTTAGAGCCTCAAACTCTTGCTTGGCTCTTTTTGCTGGTGCTCTTACCACCTGAGCTACAACTCCAATTCCAACTTTTTGCTGGCTAATGGTAGAGAGAATGTCACAGACTCTCCTATCTGGGCTAACTTCAAACCTCAGCTACTGCCCTCTTGAGTAGCTAGGATTCCAAGTGAGAGCCACCAACACCCAGCTAAATTACTTGTATTTATTTAGTTAGTTAAGTTCTTGGTCATGGGGCTTGAACTCTGGGCCTGGGCGCTGTGCCTGAGTTCTTCAGCTCACGGCAAGCACCTTACTACTTGAGCCACAGCGCCACTTCTGGTTTTCTGGTGGTTAACTGGAGATAAGAGTCTCACGGACATTCCTGCCTGGGCTGGCTTTGAACCACGATCCCCAGATCTCAGCCTCCTGAGTAGCTAGGATTACAGGCATGAGCCACCGGTGCCCGGCTATTTATTTTTAATTAGAGGGTACTCCATTGAAAAAGCCTACTCAAATATTCCAAAATCTAGAAAGACTAAAACTCTCAAAGGCTTCTGGGGCCCAGGAACTAGGGGAAGAGATACTCAGCCCACAGCTACCTTTAGTTCTTTGCCCAGTTACAGCCAGAGCATCACGTACCTGCCCGCCGTAGCCCAACCTGCAGGCCAAGATCCATGGTTGAGCTACTTGGGACCGAGATAGGACACAGCCTTTCCTGTTTTGTTCAGAGTCGCCAGCAGCGTGTCTGCACTGTGCTCGGAGTCAATGCTAACCTTCTTGTTGGGTAGGTCAATGTTAAACTCCACTCCTGTGGGAAGAGGAAATGGGCTGTGGGGGGGAGGAGGGAGGAAGCAAAGACCCTCCCATTTACAGAACGAAGCTCCTAAAATATTGCTCATGATCATCCCACCCTATTCCTCAAGATCAAGGATTAGCAGACTTTCTGGTTACACCTAGGCTGTGTTCCATATTGGTGTGTGTGTGTGTGACTAGAGACTGAACCTAGGGACTCACACTTGACACACACTGACACTCTGTCAATGAGCTACCATCCTCAGATTTGTATGTATATATTTTTTGTTTCATTTCATATATTCACTCATTTATTCATTTTTGTAAGAGCGCTACTGAGGCTTGAACTCGGCCTAGGTGCTGTCCCTTATCTTTTTTGCTTAAAGATAGCACTCTACCACTTGCGCCACCGCTCCACTTCTGGTTTTCTGGTGGCTCATTGGAGATAAGAGTCTCATGGACAATCTGTCCGGGCTGGCCTTGATCTGTGATCCTCAGATCTTAGCCTCCTGCGTAACTAGGATTACAGGCGTGAGCCACTAGCACCTAGCTTTTTTTCTTTTTTCTTTTTCTTTTGCTGGTTGTGGGGCCTGAACTCTGGGCCTGGGCGCTGTCCCTCAGCTCTTCAGCTCAAGGCAAGCACTCTACCACTTGAGCCACAGCGCCACTTCTGGCTTTTTCTGCTTATGTGGTGCTGAGGAATCGAACCCAGGGCCTCGTGCATGCAAGGCAAGCACTCTACCACTGAGCCACCTTTCCAGCCTTCCTTTTCCTTTTTGTTTTTGGGAGAGCTGAGGATGGAACTCAGAGCCTCTGCCTCCAGGCTGAGTTTCAATTTGGGAGCGTGCCCCGCACAAGCTCATAACGGACGTGTATTTTCCTACTGTAGCCAGGGGAGCCCGGCCCCCCAGAGAGAAGAGCGCAGAGTCACACGGCAAGCCAGCAGCCTTCTACCATTTCAGTTTCTTTCCAGGGCTAGGAGCCAGCCATTGACTCACTGTGGGACTCTTGTCAGTTCGATTCCTCAGCACCACATAAGCAGAAAAAGCCAGAAGTGGCACTGTGGCTCAAGTGGTAGAGTGCTTGCCTTGAGCTGAAGAGCTGAGGGACAGCGCCCAGGCCCAGAGTTCAGGCCCCACAACCAGCAAAAGAAAAAGAAAAAAGAAAAAAAGCTAGGTGCTAGTGGCTCACGCCTGTAATCCTAGTTACGCAGGAGGCTAAGATCTGAGGATCACAGACTGTTGACTGGTGTCAACAGTCTTCTTAGAGAGATGGAAAGTTCCATGCTGAGACTGCTAATACAGGCATCATCTGAGAGCAGGCATGTTAGCCTTAGCCTGGGTTTTATTGAGGTATTATTATGTGTGTGTGTGTGTGTGTGTGTGTGTGTGTGTGTGTGTGTGTGTTGATAGGATTTGAACTCAGGGCCTGGGTGCTGTCCCTGAGCTTTTTCACTCAATTCTAGCACTTCTGGTTTCCTAGTGGTTAATTGCTCTGGGCTGGCTTCGAACTGTGATCCTCAGATCTCAGCCTCCTGAGTAGCAAGGATGACAGGCGTGTGCCCGCTTGAAAGAAAGAAAATCAAATCTGGTAAGATTGACTGAGCCCTGCCCGCCCCCCCCCCCCCCCAAAGCTCTGATCTCAATTTAGTTGTTATATTATTGAGCCCTCAGATCAAATCTCAGCTTTCTTTGGTCCTCAGTTTCCCTGATGTACCTTGGGGACTGGCTGGGTGAGAATAATGATTTCCTGAGTACATCCCAAAGAAGTGTTTTATGGCTGAGCACCAGTGGCTCATGCCTGTCATCCTAGCTATTCAAGAGGCTGAGCACTGACAGCTCTTATTTCCAATGAACCAGCTAAAAAACTGGAAGTGGAGCTTGTGGCTCAAGTGGTAGAGTGCTAGCTTTGAGTGAAAAAGCTAAAAGACAGTACCTGGGCCTTGAGTTTAAGCTCCAGTAATGGCACCAAATAATAAATAAGTACAAGCAAGCTTCTCTTGCTTGGCCTTATGCATTTGAATATGACATCACTACACCTGTCTCCCCGCCCCCCCCCCCCGTACCCCACTCACCTCCCAGCTTGCTCAGAACTCGAGAAACAGCATCGGCACAGCCTCCGCACGTCATGTCAACAGAGAACTCGTGTTTCTGAAAGACACCATGAATGAAGTCCTGCAGTGAGCCACACACTGGACCTGGGCCGCTCAGTGGGCAGAGACTGAGTAAGAACTCTTAGGGGAGCCTGTTTCTGAATCCCAGTCTTCTCATCTAAAGGTTTCCATATTTCCGTGGTGGTACAGAGAGGGGATCTCCAGGAATCCTGAGCCAAGGGTGACATATGGTTAATAATATCACCTGGGGCTGGGAAGGTGGCTCAGTGGTAGAGCGCTTGCCTTGCAAGCATGAGGCCCTGGGTTCGATTCCTCAGCACCACATAAGCAGAAAAAGCCAGAAGCAGTGCTAGCCTTCAGTTGAAGAGCTGAGGGGCAGTGCCCAGGCCCAGAGTTCAGACCCCATGACCAAAATAATAATAATAATAATAGTAATAATAATATCATCTAGAAAGCTAACAATTTTTTTATTTTTTTTTTTCTAGCTGGGTGACAGTTGCTCATGCCTTTCATCCTAGCTACTCAGGAGGCTGAGATCTGAGGACTGCAGTTCGAAGCCAGCCCAGGCAGGAAAGTCTGTGAAACTCTTATCTCCAATGAACCATGAGAAAACTGGAAGAGGAGCTGTGTTTCAAGTGGTAGAGCTCTAGCCTTGAGCAAAAAGCTCAAGGACAGCACCCAGGCTCTAAGTTCAAACCCCAGTAATGGCACGTGCGCGTGCGTGCGCACATGCGCACACACACACACACACACACACACACACACACACAGAGTAGTTTCCAGTCCTGCCTTCAAAGGAATGATTCTTGAGCTGTGGGCTTTATGTCAGGACCATCAAATACTATGACATGAGTAGGCCCCCAGGCTCAGCGGGACTGATCTTTCAAGCTCATTCATTCACTCATTCACTCATTTTGGGAAATACATTTTTGTACGTGTTATAGACATTATCTTGGAGGATAGAGTCCCAGCAGTGGAATTTTGTTTTTTAAAAAAAAAAATGTGTTTTGAGCCTGGTGCCAGTGGCTCATGCCTGTAATCCTAGCTACTCAGGAGGCTGAGATCTGAGGATCACAGATCAAGGCCAGCCCGGACAGAGAGTCCATGAGACTCTTATCTCCAATAGACCACTAGAAAACTGGAAGTGGCGCTATGGTTCAAGTGGGAGAATGCTTACATTGATCTGAAGAGCGCAGGGACAGCGCCCAAGCCCAGAGTTCAAGCCCCACAACCGACAAAAAAAAAAAATGTGTTTACTTCATTCTTTTAAGAATTACTAGCATGGGGGCTGGGAAGGTGGCTCAGTGGTAGAGCGCTTGCCTTGCATGCCTGAGGCCCTGGGTTCGATTCCCCAGCACCACATAAGCAAAAAGAAAAAAAAAGCCGGAAGTGGAGCTATGGCTCAAGTGGTAGAGTACTAGCCTTGAGCTGAAGAGCTGAGGGACAGCGCCCAGGCCCAGAGTTCAGGCCCCATGACCGGACTCCCCCCCAAAAAAAAGAATTACTAGCATGAGGCTGAGATCTGAGGATTGTGGTTCAAAGCCAGCCTGGGCAGGAAAGTCCATGAGACTCTTATTTCCAATTAACCACCAGAAAACCAGAAGTGGCACTGTGGCTCAAGTGGTAGAGCACTGGCCTTGAGCTGAAGAGCTGAGGGACAGCGCCCAGGCCCAGGGTTCAAGCCCTATGACCAACCAGGTGTTGTTGGCTCACACCTGTAATCCTAGCTACTCAAGAGGCTGAAATCTGAGGATCATGATTAGAAGCTAGCCCAGGGAGAAGAGTCTGTGAAACACTCATCTCCAATTAACTACAAAAAGCCGAAAGTGGAACTGTGGCTCAAGTAGAAGAGAGATAGCATTGAGAAAAAAAGATATGGAGGAGTGTCCAGGCCTTGAGTTCAAGCTCTAGTACTAGAATCCAAAAATAAGCTAAACCTATTGCATATCAAATTCTCTTTATAGAACGTACCTAGCTCAAAATGGAAAAACCTCCCATTTAATTTATTGACTTCTTGTGCCATTCCTGAGTTTGAAGTCTGTTTCTGAGCTTTATTTGCTCATGACTAGCACTCTATCACTTAAACCACAGCTCTACCTCAGGCTTTTTGTGATGAAAGAGTCACAGACTTTTCCTGCCTGGGCTGGCTTCGAACCTCAACCCTCAGATCTCAGGCTCTTAGGTAGTTAGGATGTCAGGAGTGAACCAATGTCCAGCTATTTTATTTTCCTCCGGAGAACTCATCCACAGTCTGTGAATAGGACTGAATAAGGATGTGAATGGAGGGATGGTATTTACTCCCAAGGAAATCTCTCTGGTTCTAGAACAGCAAAGCCCACCCCCCCCCCCCCCAAATCCCTGACCCTCAGAAGACACTTTGAAAGGAAGCAACACCTGGTGAATGAGCCTGGCTTTTTTGCAGTCCAAAGATCTAAAGTCAACAGACAGTGCTGAGCACAGGGTTGGCTTTCTCTCATGATCACGCAACAGTGGTCAAAAGGCAAAAAGGTCAACATTACAAGGCAGAGCTCCTCTCCCCCACCACGGAATTGCAGACTAAACTGAAGGGTGATGAAATGTCTGCCTAAGGTCTGGGAATGTGGCTTAGTGGCAGAGTGCTTGGCTAGCAGGCATGAAGATCCGGGTTTGATTCCTCAGTACTACATGCACAGAAAAAGCAGAAGTGGCGCTGTGGCTCAAGTGGTAAAGTGCCAGCCTTGAGCAAAAGAAGCTCAGAGACAATGCCCAGGCCTGGAAAAGAAAGAAAGAAGGAAGGAAGGAAGGGAAGGAGGGAGTGAGGGAGGGGAAGGGAAGGGAAGAGAAGGGAAGGGAAGAAAAGACAAGAAAAGAAAAGGTCTGTTGAGAGGCAAAGTGATCCAAATCTTAACAGTTTTAGATTCCACTAGTATCCATCTGAGGATCCTGGTTCAAAACCAGCCTGGGCAGACAAATCTGAAAGGCTCCTATCTCCAGTGAATCAGCCAAAATAGAAGTGGAGCTGTGTTTCAAGTGGCAAGAATACCAGCCTTAAGAAAAAAAAAAAAAAAAAAAGCCAGGCGCTGGTGGCTCACTCCTGTAATCCTCAGGAGGATTGAGATCTGAGGATCCCGGTTCAAAGCCAGCCCGGGTAGGAAAGTCTGTGAGACTCTTATCTCCAATAAACCACTAGAAAACCAGAAGTGGCGCTGTGGCTCACGCAGTAGAGCGCTTGCCTTGAGCTGAAAAGCGCAGGGACAGCGCCCAAGCCCAGAGTTCAAGCCCCATGACCGACAAAAAACAAAAAAGCATAGGAACAGTGCTCAGGTCCTGATTCCCAACTCTACTATCAACAGTATCTGTGCTATAGTTTTATAGACATTTTCCCCAGGTAATAGTTAACTACAGTCTTTTCTTCCTTTTTATTTGTAGGTCTCAGATCAGCACTCAAACTCAGTAACTGGTGCTTTTGCCCATTGGCTAGTGCTCTACCAATTGAGTAATGCCTCCAACTCCATAGATAACTATCTTGTCTTTTACAGGTGAGGAAATCAGGCACAGAGAGATGGAGTCATTTGCCTGAAGTCATCCAGTTGGCAAGCTAGGGCACAGATTTTTTTTTTTCCTGGTCCTGGGGCTTGAACCCTAGGGGGGGCCTGTGTGCTGTCCCTGATCTCTTCAGCTCAAGGCAAACGCTCTACCACTTGAGCCACAGTGCTACTTCCAATTTTCTGGTGGTTAATTGGAAATAAGAGTCTCATGGACTTTCCTGGCCAGGCTGGCTTTGAACCCTAATCCTCAGATCTCAGCCTCCTGGGTAGCTAGGATTACAGGCATGAGCTACCGGCACCCAACATAGGGCACAAATTTTTCAGGGAAATTCCCTGGGCTGTTGAGCTTTTGTCTGAAAGGAAAAAAAAATCTTCTCAGGTAACAAACCTAACTCTTTCCTGTCTGGCTTTAAGGCTGTCCCTTCAAGAATCTTCTTCTTGCTTCTATTGTTTGTGTGATGGACCAATGGTAGGCCCCATTTCCACCATCTATGGCCCCAGAAGTGGAGAGGGGTCCCCAAGCTGCCTTTCCTTCACTGCTACATCCCTTCATCCCACAAAACCTGGTGACTGGGGCTGGGAAGGTGGCTCAGTGGTAGAGCGCTTGCCTTGCATGCATGAGGCCCTGGGTTCAACGCCTCAGCACCACATAAGCAGAAAAAAACCAGAAGTGGCACTGTGGCTCAAAGGGTAGAGCGCTAGCCTTGAGCTGAAGAGCAAAGGGACAGTGCCCAGGCCCAGAGTTCAGGCCCCATGACCAACACCAAAAACCCCCCACAAAACCTGGTAACCGCCACTCTCCCAATCCCAGGATGATTCAACATTGCCAGAGGTGAACTGGCTCAACTGGTAGGGCTGAGTCTATGATTCTTTGTCCAAACTTGGGGTTCTCTCGAGGGCTTTTCCCTAGGGCCCCACACAAGACCCACAAGAAATGACACCTGATCCATTTAAAACTCTGTCAGATCCTCCAAAGACAGGCTGCTAAGACTCTAGGCACATCGGGCATGCCTCTGTGGCCACACCAGGACACATAGTTGTGAACAAAGCACCCAGGAGGTATAAGTGAACATTCCAGGACCCTAACCAGTTTCTCAGGAATGCAAATGGGACCAGGGCTCCCTCACAAGCTAGTAGGACCGGTTCTGACCATGGCTTATCCTGCCAAGATAAAGACTCTGACAACACGGATTCCCCAAATAAAATACTACCAATCAATTATTGACACTTTCCCCCCTCTTTTTGTTTGTTTGGTTAGAAATATGGCATAAGTGGGGCATGGTGGTGCTCACCTGTATTCCCAGCAGTGGGGAGGTTGAGGTAGGAGAGGATCCAAGAGAGAATTCCAGGCTAGCCTAGACTACATAGCAAAATCCGATTTCACACAAAACAAACAACAACAAAAGGAAAACAATCACTACCCCCAAAGTCTACCAAAAGCCTTCATTTCTTTATCTAAGCAAAGAGCCTACATACAATACAATGCCTGGCTGCAAAGATCAGATAAAACCTGGTTCCCCCAAACTCTGCTGAGTTAGCTTTGGTTGAGTCAAGTTCCTGAGCCCCAAGTCGCCCTGGGCTCAGGGCTTCAGTGGGAAAATGTTCTAGCTGGAAAGGTTTCGAAAGCACTGTCTCCAGTCAGTTTCCCAGCCATGAATGACTTGGAAGCGGGTCAGAGTGGGTAGGGGAAGTGCAAAAACCGGGGTGTGGGGTGCAAACTAAAAACCTCTGCCCTGTCCCCAAGAGGACATTGTGCACCTGTTCAGGGCTGCCCCACGGCTCTCCCAGGCCAGCCTTGGGGGTCTCAGTACCCCCTCTTTGCAGGGAAGGCCTCCCCCACACCCTTCTCTCAAGGAAGTCCTAGGGGGGAGGGGTTCAGCACCCCCTCCTTCTGTCAGCTCAGGAAAGGCCTCGGGGATCTCAGAACCCCCTTCCCCCTCAGGAACGGCCTGGGGGGTCTCCGCACCCCTCTCTCTCAGGGATGGCCTGGGGGGGTCCTCGCATCCCTCTCTCTCAGGGACGGCCTGGGGGGGTCCTCGCATCCCTCTCTCTCAGGGACGGCCTGGGGGGGTCCTCGCATCCCTCTCTCTCAGGGACGGCCTGGGGGGTCTCCGCACCCCTCTCTCTCAGGGACGGCCTGGGGGGTCTCCGCATCCCTCTCTCTCAGGGAAGGCCTGGGGGGATCCCCGCACCCCTCTCTCTCAGGGACGGCCTGGGGGGTCTCCGCATCCCTTTCTCTCAGGGACGGCCTGGGGGGTCTCCGCATCCCTTTCTCTCAGGGACGGCCTGGGGGGGTCTCCGCACCCCTCTCTCTCAGGGAAGGCCTCGGGGGTCTCCGCATCCCTTTCTCTCAGGGACGGCCTGGGGGGGTCCCCGCATCCCTCTCTCTCAGGGACGGCCTGGGGGGTCTCCGCACCCCTCTCTCTCAGGGAAGGCCTGGGGGGATCCCCGCACTCCTCTCTCAGGGACGGCCTGGGGGGGTCCCCGCACCCCCCTCTCTCAGGGACGGCCTGATCCCGCACCCCTCTCTCAGGGACGGCCTGGGGGGGGTCTCCGCACCCCCTCCCCCTCAGGGACGGCCTGGGGGGGTCTCTGCACCCCTCTCTCTCAGGGACGGCCTGGGGGGGTCTCTGCACCCCCTCCCCCTCAGGGACGGCCCGGGGGGTTCCCGCACCCCCTCCCCTCGCAGGGAAGGTTCGAGCTTTGCAATCGCTGCAGCCTTTCGCATGGCAGCTGAGGTTCTGGCACCGAAACCCGCTTTTGCGCCCGGTTTGCAGGAGGGCGAATCGTGAGGGGTCACGCCGGGGGATCAGCAGCAGCTCTGGTGCCCGCCAGTGCCCCGTAAGGGCAGCATCGGGCCGGGCAGCGGTGCGCCCGGGACTGGGCCACTTACCGGCATGACGGAGGCGGCGGCGGCGGCGGCGGCGGCGGCGGCGGCGGCGGCGGCGGCGGCGGCGGCGGCGGCGGCGGAGGCGGCAATGAAGGCGGCTCCTCCCCCGGACCAGAGCTGCACTTCCGGGAGTGCGCGCTGGGAAGCCCCGCCCCCGGGGGCGTGAGGACGCCGGCATCGTTAGGCCACGCCCCTCGGGAAAACCCTGCTGCGTGTTAAACCCCGCCCCTCGGGGGGGGGCCAATCTTTTATTAGGCCACGCCCCTCCCTCCATCACCCGCAGAGAACCAGGCCGGGTTCCCGTAGAATGGCCTTAGACGAGGCCACGCCCACCCTCACGTAAAAGGCCACGTCCCCGCGGGCTGGCTTTTAGCTCCAAGCCACGCCCCCTCCTTCTGTGTTCCACGTTGGGTTCCGCCCCCATCAACAGGCCTCTGGACAAAAGGCCACGCCCTTTCCGGGTGGGCTTGCGTGCTGGGCCCCGCCTCCATAAATGGCCCCGCCCCCTTCCGGCCACGTCTGCTGGCTCAGTTCCCTGGGCTGTTGACCATTTTTTAGGATGGCTCCTGCGTGTCAGGCTTTGTGTTAGGGACAGCGAGGCCCAGGCACTGAGGAAAGACAGAGCCCAGCCTTCCCTAACGGGACCAACTCTCTTTGTTCACTCAGGCCTGGGCAGGGTGCAGGTGATGTAATGGTGGGCTCCAAAGAAGCAGGTGATGATGCTGCAGTACAAAAAGCAGCTAGGTCCATGAACGATGAAAGGGGTGATGTCGATCAAGGTGCATTGTTGTACAACTACTTAAAGAGAATAATACCATTTAAAAGAAGCTGGGTCCTCAGGGCACAGGGGCACCCTAACTCCCACTGGAGCAGCTGGGGACAGTTCTTGGGACAGAAGAAGGAGTAGCCTTTATCCACAGGGTTAAGTGTGATGAATGAAGTCTGGCTAATTGGGAGAGAGAAGCAGCAGAAAAAAAAAAAAAGAGCCTTGGGCAGCATGTGCAAAAGCCGGAAGACAAGAATGAACATGAATTGGGAGGCAGAGATCATTCAGATTGGGATATTCATATTGAGCTTCAGGCGGACACACTTGACAGATGTTGGAATATGATGTGAAATCTGCCTGGTGACAGAACAGATAGATGGAGGCAGGATTGCTCTAGGATACTTATAAACAGACAGTTGAAAGCCCCAGAGAGAGCTTCACACACACACACACACACACACACACACACACACACACACACACACACACACCAGCAGCAGCAGCAGCAGCAGCAGCAGCAGAGTGATTCTGTCCTTGGTTAATTCCTGTCAAAATCTTGCCAGGGTACTCAATCCAAATAGGTGTGTGTGTGTACGTTAGTACTAAGATTTGAACTCAGGGCCTGGATGCTGTCCCTTAGCTTTTTCAATTAAGATGGTACCCTACCACTTGAGCCACAGCTCCACTTCCAGCTTTTGGTAGTGAATTGGAGAGAAGAGTCTCATGTTTTTTCCTGTCACTGACTTCAAACTGTAATCCTCAGATCTCGGCCTCCTGAGGAGCTAGATTATATGCCTTGCCTTATCAGATACCATAACCTGCTAGCACATTTGATCTGGAACTTGCAATTCTCTAGAACTGTGAGAAATAAATCTGTATAATTTTTATAATTTATAAACTAACCATGATTTTTTTTTGTAACAGCAGGCATGAATTTAGACACTGCACGAGATTGAGGAGTAGGGGAACTGTAACAGATCAATCACCAGTTCCTAAAATGTGCCTAGAAGTGATCTTTGTGCTTGGCTGGGAATGTAGTTTAGTGGTAAAGTGCTTATCTAGCATGCATGAAACCATAGGTTCGATTCCTTAGTACCACAAAAACAGAAAAAGCTGGAAATAGTGCTGTGGCTCAAGTAGTAGAGTGCTAGCCTTGAGCAAAAGAAGCTCAGAGACAGTGCCCACGCCCTGAGTTGAAGCCCCAGGACTGGCAAGAGAGAGACAGAGAGAGAAAAAGAGACAGAGAGAAAAATACAGAGACACAGAGAGACCAAGCACTGTGTTACCTCTGTTCACCCCCTTTTGGTTAAAAAAAGCAGAACCCACAATCATTACTATTTTAAAAGGAGGCAGCGGAGGTAGGTACCACTGATTCACGCCTGTAATGCTAGCTACTCAGATGGCTGAGATCTGAGGATTGTGGTTTGAAGCTAGCTGGAGCAGGAAAGTCCATGAGACTTTCATCTTCAATTAACTACCAAAAAGAGCTGGAAGTGGAGCTGTGGCTCAAGTGGCAGAGCTCTAGTCTTAAGTGGAGGGAAAAAAGCTAAAGGATTGTACCCAGACCCTGAATTCAAGCCCCGGTACACATACTCTCTCTCTCTCTCTCTCTCTCTCTCTCTCTCTCTCTCTCTCACACACACACACACACACACACACACACAAGGTAAGCCAAGCTCTGGTGGCTCACATCTGCAATCATAGCTACTCAAGAAACTGAGATCTGGGCTGGGAAGGTGGCTCAGTGGTAGAGCACTTGCTTGCATGCCTGAGGCCCTGGGTTCGATTCCTCAACACCACATAAGCAAAAAGAAAAAAGCTGGAAAGTGGCGCTGTGGCTCAAGTGGTAGAGCACTAGCCTTGAGCTAAAGAGCTGAGGGACAGTGCCCAGGCCCAGAGTTCAGGCCCCACGACCGGACACCACCCCCCCAAAAAAAGAAAGAAACTGAGATCTGAGGATCGTGGTTCAAAGCCAGCGGGGACAGGAAATTCCATGAGACTCTTAATCTCCAATGAACCACCAGAAAACCAGAAGTGGAGCAGGGACTAAAATGTCAAGTGTTAGCTTTGAGTAAAAGAGCTCAGGGACAGTGTCCAGGCCTTGAATTCAAGCCCCATGACTGATTTAAAAAAAAAAACAACAAAAGGCAGGAAAATGTGATAATCCTACCAGGTGCCCAGAATATCAATGTCAAGATCAGCATTAACAATGGTAATGAGACTTTCTTCAGACAAGCCACGTGCTTTGGGGGCCACAACGGCCCCTAGCATTATTTAATAGACTCCAGTCATCACCGCAGAGGGTCAGATAGTTTGTTCTCTGGTCCTCTTATCTCTTCATTCATTTGAAACCCCCAGGGTTTCAAAGATGTGTTCAATGACACAAGCCACACAAACCCATGTTCAATTCCTATTTCAGGAAGTTTGACTCCTTGAACCTCCTTTCTCCCCTGCAAATAAAGATAATTATCCGATCTAAGCCTGCAGCGGACCCTCATCAAATAGCTCAGTAACTGGTGTACACTAACTACTCAGAAAGTGCTCAGGGTTTTAAATCACTTTTTGTTGTTGTTGGTTTTGGGGCTTGAACTAAGGACCTCAGTGGGTGCTAGCCCTGAGTTCTTTTGTTCAAGGTTAGCATTCTATTACTTTGAGCCACAACGTTACTTCCGGTTTTCTGGTGGTTCATTGGCAGTATGAGTCTCATGGACTTTTCTGCCTAGACTGGCTTGGAACTGTGATCCTCATATCTCAGCCTCCGGAGTAGCTAGGATTACAGACATGAGCCATCAGTGCTTGACTTTTACTTTTTACTTTTACTTTTACAGAGTATATGAAAAGCTTCCTACTGTAAAGAACAAACAAACAAAACCCTCAAAACAATGTACCTAAAGTGAAAAATCCATTTAAGGGACTAGGACTGGGGCTGGGAAGGTGGCTCAGTGGTAGAGCACTTGCCTTGCATGCCTGAGGCCCTGGGTTCGATTCCTCAGCACTACATAAGCAAAAAGAAAAAAGCCGGAAGTGGCACTGTGGCTCAAGTGGTAGAGCGCTAGCCTTGAGCTGAAGAGCTGAGGGACAGTGCCCAGGCCCAGAGTTCAGGCCCCACAACCGGATCCCCCCCCCCCAAAAAAGGGGGGGACTGGGACTTTGGCATACTGGTAGAGTGCTTGCCTAACATGCATGAAGCCATGGGTTCGATTCCTTAGTACCACATACACAGAGAAGACCAAAAGTGGTTCTGTGGCAAAAGTGGTAGAGTGCTAGCCTTGAGCAAAAGAAGCTTAGGGACAGAGCCCAGGACTGGCAAAAGAAAAAAGAAAAAAAGAAAAATCTCTTTAAGACCTGTCCATGATTCTTTCAGACAGCTTTGTATCTATCTGCACATTTTTCTGTCAAAGGACAAACTTGCTACAATTTAACTCGATCGTTTCAACTCTAGAATGGGTTGATACTTTGTTCCAAACTAGGTAAGTGTTCACTGAAGCAAGAGGAGAGGTTTTGTCTTGTTGATCTTCTTTCCTTCCCTTTTTCCTTCCTCTACCTCCTCCTCTCTTGGCAGTCTTGGGGCTTGAACTCAGGGCCTGGGCACTGTCCCTGAGCTTCTTTTGCTCAAGGCTAGCACTCTACCATTTGAGCCACAGCACCACTTCCTGATTTTTCTGTTTATCTGGTACTGAGGAATCAAACCCATGCATGCTAGGCAAGCACTAACCCTAAGCCACATTCCCAGCCTTTTCTTCTCTCTTTACACGGCCAGTTCTGGGGTTTCAATTCAGGTCCTCATATTCTTGCTCTTTTCTTTTTTTTCCTAGTGAAGGTGGTGTTCTACTACTTGAGCTACAGCTCCACTTCTGGCTTTTTGCTGGCTAACTGGAGATAAGAATCTTCCATGCTTTCCTGACCCAACTGGCTTTGAATCTCAATCCTCAGATCTCAGGCTCCTGAGTAGCTAGGATGACAGGTGTGAGCTATCAGGGCCAGCTTCTGGTTCGTTTTAAAGGTCAAAATTCCATATTGCAGTTCCTCCTATCACCCTTAATATCTGTAATTAACATTATTAAAAAAATACCAGCCTGGCATTAGTGGCTCATGTCTATAATCTTAGCTACTTAGGATGCTGAGATCTGAGGACCGTGGTTCAAAGCCAGCCTGGCCAGGAAAGTCCATGAGACTGTTATTTCCAATTAATCACCAGAAAACCAGAAGTGGCGCTGTGGCTCAAGTGAGTGGAATGTTAGCCTTGAGCACAAAAGCTCCTCTGGGACAGTGCTCAGGTGTGAGTTCAAGTCCCAGGACTGGCACAAGAAAAACCCTCAAAAATAAATCATAAATACCAACAGGGCATGGGAAGAAAAGTAAGCCTTCTGCTATGCTGGCCAAAGTTCATTTCTTTGTTAGTCATCATTAAGGGTTTCTTGTAATCACTTCTGGAGAGGAACTTGAGCGCTCAGAGCCAAGAGCCCACAGGAAGCTGGGCACCAGTGGTGCACACCTGTAATCCCAGCTACTTAGGAGGCTGAGATGTTAGGAACAAGGTTTGAATCCAATGTGGGCAAGGAAGAGTTTGTGAGACTCTTATCTCCAATTAACCAGCAAAATAGCTAGAAATGGAGCTGCGGCTCAAGTGGTAGAGTGCCAGCCTTGAGCTAAGACATAGTGCCTAGGGCTGGGAATGTGGTTTAGTGGTAGAATGCTTGCCTAGCATGCATGAAGCCCTGGGTTCCATTCCTCAGTACCACATACACAGAAAAAGCCATAGTGGTGCTGTGCCTCAAGTGGTAGAGTGCTGGCTATAAAAAAAAACAGCAGAGCAAGAGCTGGAGGAACTGATTTCAAATCCCAATACTAGTACACATATATACACTCACACATTAAAAAAAATGTATCAGCTGAGCGCCCAGGGCTAATGCCTGTAATCCTAGCTATTTAGGAGGCTGAGATCTGAGGATCGGGGTTCAAAGCCAGCCTGGGCAGGAAAGTCTGTGAGACTCTTTTTTCCAATTAACCACTAGAAGACCGGAGGTGGCACTGTGGCTCAAGTGTTAGAGTGCTAGCCTTGAACTGAAGAGCACAGGGACAGTGCCCAAGCCCAGAGTTCAAGCCCCACAACCAACCTATATATATATATATATATATATATATATATATATATATATATATATATATATATAGGGGCTGGGAAGGTGGCTCAGTGGTAGAGTGCTTGCCTTGCATGCCTGAGGCCCTGGGTTCGATTCCTCAGCACCACATAAGCAAAAAGAAAAAAGCCGGAAGTGGCGCTGTGGCTCTAATAGTAGAGCGCTAGCCTTGAGCTGAAGAGCTGAGGGACAGTGCCCAGGCCCAGAGTTCAGGCCCCACAACCGGACCCAAAAAAAAAAAAATATATATATATATATCATAAATGAACCCCATTGATAACTGTTAAAACAAGACAGAGTAATAAAATCCTGTGACTTTGATAAAATGGTACTATATACAAGTATGTAAAGATCATGATGAAACTCCTTAGTACAATTAACTTCGGCTAATAGTGTGTATGTGTGTGCTGGTGCTGGGGATTGAACTCAGGGTCTTGAATCTCGATCCTCAAATCTTAGCCTCTGGAGTAGTTGGGAGCCACTGGGATCTGACTCTGTATATTTAAAAAAAGTAAACAAACAATTCCACACACACCCCCTCCCCCCAAAAAACCCCAAACCCCCACCAACTTTACATTTTTCTGGTAAAAACCAATGGCAAATGTCTTGCTCTGCCTTTAAAAAAAAACCACAGCAAAGGGGCTGGGAAGGTGGCTCAGTGGTAGAGTGCTTGCCTTGCATGCCTGAGGCCCTGGGTTCGATTCCTCTGTACCAAATAAGCAGAAAAGGCTGGAAGGGGAGCTGTGGCTCAAGTGGTAGAGCGCTAGCCTTGAGCCGAAGAGCTGAGGGACAGCGCCCAGGCTCAGAGTTCAGGCCCCAATACCGTCAAAAAAAAACCCCAAATCCCCCAAAACAAAACCAAAAACCACAGCAAACACCTGCCAGGGAGTCTCCACGGCACTCAGACCGAAGTCCAAGTTCCTTGGCTGGGCTAAGATGATTTCTGCAGGTTCCATCTGCAAAGTTTGCTGGCAAACTTTGGGTGACTTCTGCTCCTGGGGCTTACAGCTGACATCTTTTCCCGGGGTTGGGGAGTTCAGGGCCTTCACACCTGTAATCCTAGCCACTCAGGAGGCTGAGATCTGAGGATCGAGGTTCAAAACCTGCCTGGGCAGTCACATCTGTGAGACTATCCCTAATGAACCACCACAAAAACCAGAGGAGCTTTGGCTAGGGGAGTTGTGGCTCAAATGGTAGAGAGCTAGCCTGAGAGAGAGAGAGAGAGGGAGAGGGAGAGAGAGAGAGAAAGAAAGAATGGTTAGGGACAGTGCCCATCAGGACCCCCCTCCTCTCTCCCTCCCTCTCCTTCTCCCTCTCTCTCAAGACACAGAATCAATGGAGGCCTGTCTGTGGCCTAACAGGCACCCAAAGCCATCCCAATAGAAAACTCCCACCATGACCAATGGAGATCTGGGTTCTGGGGTGGGAGGGATGGATCTTTGGGATGTCCAGCTACAAGGTGAGATGAAGGTACCTTGGACAGGTGTAACAACCCCGCCACAGCCACAGCCAATCAGACCAGAGTGGCCCCTGCCCAGGGTGCTGCGCAGGCGCAGGCGCGTGGAGGTGGGTGGGTGGAGGCTGGGGGTGCAGTGGGATTCCCAGCTTTCTGATTAAGGAGAATGAAATCACCGGGGAAAAGGAGAACTTCCACGCAAACGCCCACAGCCAATCTTCGCGCCACTCCGCAGGGCTCAGCACCAACTCCACGTGACATTCCCCCCCACCCCCCCCCAAGATGCTCGGCTTCTAGAGCTTTCCTTCTGCATTGCTGCTGACTAATGCCAGGCGCTTAGCCATAGGGATCTGGGGGGGAAGGCAGGGCGATGAAAAAGTTGTAATAAGAGAAGATTAAAAAAACACAACAGAACTGGGAAACTTTGCTACTTGTTTCTCTCCCCCCCACCCCCCCAAAAAAAAAAAAGTGTGCAGGGAAGATAAGATCGGGGGAATCCTCAGGGGCCCGGATTCAACGAAATGAGCTCAAGAATGGAAAAAGGACCGAAATCCAAGCCCGGAGGACTTCCTAACCGCCCCCGGAGGGCACAGCAGCCCCGGGGCTCTGTCTTTGGAGCGCTCCGACCCCGCCTCCCCGGCCACACGTCAATCAGCCGCTTTCAGCGTTGCGATTGGCCCTGGACTTCCTAGGTTTTTTTCCCCTCCCCGCCCCCGCGCCCGCCTTCTACTTGCTTGGGGTTTACTTCCCCAAAGTACACGGGCCCCACCTTGTGGAGCAACCGCTCCCGCATGGGAACTAGATCTCCGCCCAGAGGAAGAGATCTGAACCAATGGGATAGGCCCTTTGCAGTTATTGGTTGTCAGGGGTATCGGTCGAAGAAGGTCCCACCGTCTCGTCCAGTATCCCTCCGAGCTATTGGACGTGCCGCATGCCAATCTTCTATAGGGAAGCGCGAGCTCTACGTTCTCATAGGGAGGTGTGGAAGCCAATCAAGAGCCACACCTTTATCTTGCGGCTCTATCCAATGGCCGTTCGAAGAGCTCCAAGGACGCAGTCGGGATTGGTCCCGGCCTTGCTTGACCTGGCCGCAGCAAGTTCGGTTGCGCCGCGGCTATATAGACCGGTGGCGGAGCACGCGTGTGTGCGGACGCACTTGCGTGAGCGATTCCTGCCGCCTTTGCCGCTGCTGTGGAGCAAAAGCTTGTTCCTCTCCCGCTCAGCCGCGTAGGTACGCCGTGGGTGGGGGCGAGGGCGGGCGGGCGGGGCGGGGCAGGGGTGGGCCCCGGGACGACGGCGGCGGCGGCGGCGGCGGCGACGGCGACGAGTTGGGGCAATCGTGAGACCCGGAGTCCGAGGAGTGGCCACGCGAGCCGCGCGTCCCCTCCCCCCATCCCGCCCCCCCCCCACTTCCACCCAACGGCCGCCGGGGCGCGCGCGCGCACACGCACACGCTCCGCCGCCCGGGGTGCGCGCGCGCGCCCGCCGGCCCGCGTGCACGGCGGGGGCGCGAACCGCGCGTTCAACGGCCACGCGGGGCGGGCGGGCGCGAGCGAGCCTGGGCCTCGCTGCCCACCGGCTCCCCCCCCCTCCCCACTCCACGGGGAGCGGGGGGTTCCCCGCCCCTCCCCAGGCTATCCCGGGGTGAGGGCGGGGGGGGGGGTCCTCGCGCCGTCCGGCCCCCCCCTTCCCCCGTTGCACACCTCGCCACGCGCCGGGGAAGTCTTCCCATCCTTGTCCCTGCCGGAGGGAGGGCGGGGTGGGGTGACCCGCGATCGGGAGGGGGCGGGAGGGGGGGGTGGTGGTGCAGGGCGGCGGGACACCGTGGTGACTCTGGAATGGCTGCGAGCGTGCAAAGCAGAAGTGCAGCGCTGCACCCCCCGCTCCCGGGAGCCGGGACGAAAGGAAGTTGAGCGTGCGCCCGGCACGGGGGGACCTGGTGACTGGGGGCGCTCAGGCCCTCTCCCCCCCTTCCCCGCCCCCGGTGCGGCGTGCACACGGCCCGGGCAGGTGTCAGGATCTGCCATCCACCCCCCCACCCCACCCCGGTCCCCCCGATCGTGTTTTATCCGGCGCGCCACGCGTTCCCCGTGGGGCTGCAGGACACAGGACATCCACCCTCCCCCCCCATCCCCGGGTCCCTGGGGCCGGGGGGCAGCCGCAGGCCCCTCCTCGCCCCCCCATGTGTGTAGGCTGCTTGTGAGGGATAGCCAGGGGCGGGGGGGGGCTTGTATTTCCCGCGGATCATTTTCTGGGCTTCCGAGGCGGCCGAGGGCGCGCGGCGGGGCGCATCAGGGGGCCCCGGGGGCCGGGGCGGGGGGCGGCGGGCGGAGAAGGAAGAAAAACCACGTGGAGGAGAACACGAGCAAGTGTAACGGAACCTCCGCCCCGGGTTTGAAGCTCACCACGCGGGGCGGGGCGGGGGGGGGGGGTTCCCGCCAGCAGGAAGTTAGGCCGGTTTCCTTTTTCTTTTTAGGGTCTGGATCTCCAGCACTGATTTCTAGTCATCCTCATCTTCCTCCCTCCCCCAATGTAAAAAACATTAAAAAAAAAAGTCGAATGCGACTTTTGGAGAAAAGTTTTGGAGGCAGTTGCTTTTCCACCTGCGGCGCTGGTTCTGGTCCCCGGCAGTCAGTCTGGGCAGACTTTGAATGGAAGGCTCGCTCCTCCTTACTTAGGCGGACGCTTGGTGGGGGGGATTTTTTCTTTTTCTGGAAAGCACCCTTAACCTCCGCGGGGACAAGTCCGCTTACATTCATTCAGTTCATTTGTTTGGTTACTTTATTTTATTCTAGCATTTACCCTCCTGCATCGTGCGTCTCGGTACACAGTGATAATCTTGCTAACTTGCCCTCAGGGTGTTTGTGCTTGCTTTTCTGGCATAAACGCAACCCATTTTAGAGTATTTGAAAACCCAGGGCACCTCTTAGCTTTGTCAAGTAAGTGGCAGTAGTTTTGTAGATATAGACAGCTACATTTGTGGTCACGACATCACAGTTGTTTCTACTTCAGACCACAGAAAGTTTTGAGACTAGCTTTGGCTAGATTTCCTTTAATGAGAGTTTTCAATCTGTGTTTTGTTGTTTTTTTTTTTTTTTTTTCTTTTTTTTTTTTTTTTTTTTTTTATTGTAAAGCTACTATACAGAGGGTCACAGTTACATGAGTGAGGTTATGAGTACACTTCCTCTTGAACATTGTTACCCCCTCCATTGTTTTCCCCCTACCATCCCCTCCCTCCCTCCCTTCCCCGAGGTTCTTTTTTTTTTTTTTTTTTTTTTTTGATTGTGATTAAATGATTACATAATTTCAAAGTCACAAGTTCATTCTAACTTCCCTGGAGCAAATTGTCTACCACAGTCTGTAATATATAACAGTGTTCACATGTTATATACCATATTTGTGATCAGCAGCATGAGGATATTTAGTAGTGGTTCAACCAGATGAGCGGGAGTTCTTTGTTTCTTAAGTCCTGTTAGTTTTGTCGTATCACTAACCTTTTGGATTTAGCATCCACTTATGAGGGAGACCATGTACCGTTTGTCTCTTCGTTCTTGGCTTACCTCGCTCAACATGATTCCTTCTAGCTCCATCCATTTCCCTGCATGTGTTTTGTTGTTTTGAGACAAGGTCTCACTTTGTAGCTCAGGCTGGGATTATAGGCATGTAATACCACACCCAACTTTTTTTCTTTGTCTCTTTTCCCTCCCTTCCTTCATTCCTTCCTTCTCCCTCCTCCTCCTTTCTGTCCCTCCCTCTTCCTTTCCTCTTTTAGCAAATTTTTATCTATGGTAGTGTACGGATGTTCTTTAGGATTATTTTTTTTTTCTAGAGGCAAAGTAATGCATATCCTCCTTCAATTTCCTCAGTTTTTAATTTTTCAAATATTTTTGTTAACCAAGTACTTCCTCTTATTGTTAAAAGGTAGCAAATAGGTAAAGGATCAAAATATTTTAAGTTCTTACCATTGTTGGTATTGTCATAAATATAGTTTGCTTTAGAATATAACATTGTGTTTTACTTACACGCAGCTGGTCCTGTGTTGCTGTTGTGGTTAACCTGTATTTTGAAGTAGGTTAATATGACCTACTTTCAACTATTAGGTCCAGCTAACTATTACTGCTGGGGGTAAAAGAGATCAGAATTCAATTACCCATGGAAGGGAATTGTTTTCTTTTTTATTTTCATCTCACTTTCAGCTATGAAAAAGTTGTGTGCAGTGTCTGGCTTCAGGAAAATGTTTTGTCTGCAGGGCAAGACTATTAACGTGATGATTTCACAGGTTGGCACCTCCGCTGAGCACGGGTGCGCTCATTTGTCACAAGAGAGTGAACTTGGAGGCAAACTGGGGTAAAAGAATTCTTGGGCCTTCCTACTTCCCTAGCCAGCCATAAGATGACTTGTTGGGTTGAGTCCTTTCAATCTGAGTGAACAGGTAGATGGAAAGGAAGGCACGTCTTTGTTCTTGAACTCATTCAGCTTACTGTTCCCAGGATCATGAGATTTTGGTAATGGATGTTCTTGACCTACTTGAAAGCAATGCTTTACTTTTTTTTTTTTGTCATTTACATTATGAGTTTTTGTGCAACTTTTAACACTTAGTAAAGGGCTAGCTGGACACTCATGGCCCATGTATATCATCCTAGCTACACCAGGAGGCTGACATCTGAGGATTGTGGTTCAAAGCTAGCCTGGGCAGGAAAATCCATGACTCTTACCTCCTAGAAAATGGGAAGTAGAGCTGTGGCTCAAAGTGGTAGAGCACTCGCCTTGAGCAAAAGGATTCAGGGACACACCCAGGCCCTGAGTTCAAGCTCCCCATGACTGACCCCCTAAACCCCCAACAAAAAAAAAGTAAAGAGGTAACCGAAGGGCTGAATTTGGGACTAAATTAGCTTTCATCTTTTGCCAGTTTGTGTTTATTTTTCTATGCCAATCCTGGGGCTTGATCTCAGGGCCTGCTTGCTGTCCCTTAGCTTTTTTCTTTTGCTCAAAGCTGGTGCTCTACTATTTTGAGCCACGGCTCTACCCACTTTCTGCTTGTGAATTGGCAATAGGAGTCTTACCGATTTCCCTGCCTGCCTGGTTTCTAATTGCTAGTCTCTGATCTCAGCTTCCTAAGTAGCTAGGATTACAGCTATGAGCCTTTGCACCCTTTTTGCCAGTTTAATAAAACTGAGCCTTCGGTCTTAACATTTTGCAAATGGATTGACTTTTTAAAAAAAGATTACAGAATTCAAATAATTTTATATCTGTTCTTCCTGTAAATTGTATTATGCCTTTTGATTGCCTTGGACAGAACTATTACTGACTTTACAAAGGCTGTAGTGCTGAGTAGACAGGGCAAGACCAGTAAATCCCTCCCCCATCGGGTCCCCACGAGAGGGAGAGACCTGTACTGCCCTTCCAAACTCTGGAGTTAAATTTAGACTCAGCAACTGTAATCCCACTGGTAGTGTTCACACTGGCAGCTAACTAGGCTTGTATTTTTATATCTCAGAAAAGGTTAAGATTTTTGTTGTTGTTGTTGGTCGGTCGTGGGGCTTGAACTCAGGGTCAGGGCGCTGTCCCTGAGCTCTTCAGCCCAAACAAAGCGAGTGCTCTGTCACTTGAGCCATAGTGCCACTTCCGCTTTTCTGATAGTTATTTGGAGATCAGAGACTTAGTGGACTTTCCTGCCTGGGCTGGCTTTGAATAGTGATCCTCCTGAGTAGCTAGGATTACAGGCCTCCTGAGTAGCTAGGATTTACAGGCATGAGCTACCAGTGCCCAGCTAAGATTTTTTTTTAATTTAATTATTATTATTTTTTGGTGGTTCTAGGATTTGAATTCGGGGCCTCTGTCTGATAGACAGTGCTGACCACATGAGCCCATGTATCTAGTCTTAGTTTTTTTTTAAGTAATTTATTTTTTGGGCGGTCGTGGGGCCTGAACTCTGGGCCTGGGCGCTGTCCCTCAGCTCTTCAGCTCAAGGCGAATGCTCTACCACTTGAGCCACAGCACCACTTCCAGCTTTTTCTGCTTATGTGGTGCTGAGGAATCAAACCCAGGGCCTCATGCATGCGAGATAAGCACTATACCACTGAGCCACCTTCCCAGCCCAATATGTTAAAAATTTTAGCTGGGCACCAGTGGCTCACGCCTATAATCCTAGCTACTCAGGAGGCCGAGATCTGAGGATCACGGTTCAAAGCCAGCCTGGGCAGGAAAGTCCGTGAAACACTTACCTCTAAT